CGGAAGAGTCATGTGAGGAAAGGGGAAAAAAAAACAAAAACCTGATCTGCAAAAGACACACAGATAATAGGAAAAGTATAAATTGAATTTAGAATTAAATGTCAAGTCTGTTACACTGAAAGTTAAATCTTAATCAGAAATGTAGAGAGTCAGTCTGTTTTGGGGTTAAATACCTGAAGTTTTTCTAAGGTTTTTTTTTCCTTGATTCTTTTTTCCCCTCCTTGAAGTAGACTACCTTGCTTTCTAAATCTTCAAGTATTTTATTATTTCAGAATATAGTGTGCAATTAGTACAAAAAAGCAGGTGGACTGATTAAAATACTGTAGTCAGAATAACTGATATTAAATATGATTTGAATAAGCAACGAGAAAATTACATACACCAAAATCAACTATTTTTGATTATGGATTTTGCTAAGGTGTGGTTGATCTGTGTTGATCATCAGTTCAAGTGTGCTGAATTACAGCAAAGTACAGCCTATAAACCACAGAATTTTTTGGTTAAGAATATGCATACTTTATAGAAACACCTATAAAGTCTACTCAGCCATCTGCAGAGGTAAAAATACATATATTCTAATGGTTAATTTTATTTTCTGTCATTCTAGAGTGGGCAAATGTTTCATTAATCTTTTTTCTTGTGATTTGTCTGATTGCAGATGGAATTTGTAGGGTACTTACAAGACATAAAACAACATTTTTAAAACTTTTTTTTCTTTTAACTTGGCAGTGCGAATCTGTCTTAAATGTGGGTAAATTTGAGAAAGCGCGCTTTTGGTTTTTAATCTGGCTGCTTTATCAAACAAAGGAACCACTGTTTGTTAGTGCAACTGATGTTTCTTATTTCCTTCCCTTTCAAAACGTTCGAAGGAGCAGCTCTCTCCTGTCGCTCTTGGGTTGGTGCAGCGCCTCGGCATGGGGGAGGCTTTCCTGCATTTTCAGCTCCCGCTTTCTCAAATATTGATTAACTAACTATTCACCAAACTGACCCAGCTGAATAAACTCAAAGAAAGAAAAATGTATCGTTTTTCTTTTGGCAGAAGCAAAGTTAAGATGGGGTTAGTTGCAGCCAGAAATGGGATTAGCATGTCGAGCAACTTTGGCTCTGAGGTCTGGTTTCGTATCAGCTCAGTTTTGCAAAATCTTATGCCTAAGACTTAATTGCCCTGTGACAATACCTCTCTTTCTCCATTAACTAAGAGGTAGCTCGCAGCAGGCCGTTAAGTATATTACGTGACGTGCCAGTAGTTAATGCCTGCTTGAATATTATTGTTAAATAACTCCAAATGTCTTAAGGATTAGAGTTATGTTAGGACCTAATGTAAGGTGCGATTAATTTTTGAATCAAAATATTAAAAGGTTTAAAATTAATTTTAAAAGTTGAAAATGACTGTTGACAGAAAAAATAAAGTAAGACTCTTCCATTCTTCCCTCTTGCAAGGTGGGTAATGGTGGGATATGGTGATTTAACTCTTCTGAGACTTAAATTTCTTACAGATAAGACCTTCTGGTAATAGAAAATTACCCTTGAAGAGATTAAGAGATTAGCGCTAGCCCCAATTAAAAAGGAAGGATTTGGGTCGAGAAGTGATCTCAGCAGAAGCATTAGGGCAATTCAATAACTTTTTGGGGTCTGACTAGATTATCGGACGTATATACAAAAACGGAGCAAATGGAGCAATTTGGAGAAAGGTCTCATGAGTAAATGTTACTGTCTGTGATTGCAGGGACAGGATTGGGTGACCTGCATGTTCCTGGTCAACCATGTTTTTATGAAACATTTCAAGAACCACCTGTTGTTTTTACTTTTAAACCTTAGCATATCTGCAATGGAATCTCTTAGTTGTTCTCCAGTTTCACAGAGGAAAGTGAGACCTAGGGGAAGGTGTGAGGACCTAGAGCTATGACGAAGTGACGATTGGAAGGGACATCCACGAAGGGTGAGGAGAGCCCCAGCTGGGCCAGATAATATCCCAGCTCTGCTAACTCTGGCACTTACAACAGGACAAAGATGCAGGGCTGCCGCAGCTGGAAGAGTACACCCGCAACCAAATTATCTCACTGTGGATTTGCGTGAGCTGTTGGGTGACTTAAGGACAGAACTGGACTTTGGTCCAGTAACATTTGGTGTACTTTGAGCAGTGTGCATGGGTATCCTGGAAGTGGATAGTCAGAAATGGCAAATACATTATGAATTGAACTGCTAGAAAACACTGCTAGATGTTTCTCACCTCTCTTTTGTTTTCAGGGCATGGCCTTTACGTTGCACGAACGACAGATGCTTGGGTTGCAAGGACTTCTGCCTCCTAAAATAGAGACACAAGACATTCAAGCCTTACGCTTCCATAAGAATTTGGCAAAAATGAACGACCCCTTGGAAAAGTAAGCTCTCCTCCAGCCTTGATGGTAGATAGGAATTGGTGTAAATGCATGTCATTGGAATAACCAAACGCACTTTCTTTGCCTCCGCTAGGTTTTCCAGTTGTGGGAAGTTATTTTCCATTTTGAGCAAACTGTTTTCATCAGTTAATTATGTAGCTAAATGAGATTGGGGAGCAATTTTGTAACGTTGCGTAGTCATGAGGTAACAAAAAAGAACATACGCAAATTTGCCAGTAGCACAGCTGCAGACTTACGGGGCAGCAGCTTGCTGGAGACCTTGCTGCTATGCTTCTATAATATGTAAGGTTTGGCCGGCAGGTTGTCAGAGCACAGAACTGTATATTTTTTTTTTAGCTTTAGAGAACACCAGAAAAACATGTGTGAGTTTAGGTAAGTTAGGAACTTGCTAATTAGATGCAAAAAATAGTGTTTCTCCTATATTGTAATTATTGTTAGAAGGAAATTACAGCCTTAATATTTTGACATTCTTAATGAGTAATTCTTTGAGATGAATCTTTTTCTGTTGTTGTTTAATCCACTAGTTGGATGAAAAAAATATAAAGGGTTTTTGTTTTCTTAGAGTGGCATGTTTTTAGCATTTTGTTACCATTTTCATATAAACGTATGTGTATTTGCACATGAAAATATGCAGTCTCATAAGGGCAAGAGGAGCATTAGAGTGACTCAAAGCATACCGGACCACATCAAAACTCTGTTTTGTTCTCGTGACAACTGAGAGGTAACTTTTAAATCCGCATCATATCACCTGCAGATCCGAAAGGGTCAAATCATCTCCTATTGGCAAAGCGTCCAGTAGCTGTAACCTAAGATAATCCCTAATTCATCCTCTGTGTGCTGTCCAGTCAGCTAAACTGAATGTGAATTGGTACCTGATAGGCTGGCATATAAATTGGCAAAACTGAAGGTTTAACGTGCGCGATGAGTTCTGTCCTTCGAAGCAGACTTTTTTTTCTAGGAGTTGATTAGTTTTACAGCTGCGTCGATGTTAGGAGTAGGAAGACCTTACTGTCAAGACCTCCTGTTTTGGATGAAAAATTATTTCACCGATAATTTTTTTTTAACAGTAATGAGACTCCCAGCTGCATCCTGCAATAAATCCATGGGTTATCTTATATCATAAGGCATGTTTGTGCCTTAATTTGTTAGCGTGCATGTATGTCATATCAATTATTTTTATTATCGCTGTTTAGTACTGCTACTCTTTCCTTTCCAACTTCTGTTTAGTTCTCAAAGCCCAGCTTGAGTGGAGGAAGGAATTTCATGAAGACAGAATATGGAGCAAGTTTGGTTTTTGCTTTGCCGTTTTTCACATTGTTTTACATAAGCATAAATGTGAAGCAGTTAATTTTTTTTCTTTTGCTTTATTACAGGTATATCTACATAATGGGAATCCAAGAGAGAAATGAAAAATTATTCTATAGGGTATTACAAGATGATATTGAGCGGTTAATGCCAATTGTATATACACCAACAGTAGGCCTTGCCTGCTCCCAATATGGACACATCTTCAGGAGACCAAAGTAAGAACAATAGATATATATTGCTACTACTTTTATTATTGTTTTCTCTATGTACTTCCCTGAGGTTTGAAAACGTTTTATTTCATTTTCCTTTGGATTTAGCTACACTAAAGTTAGGCTGATTCATTAGATGACAACTGAAGGCCCAGTTTATATTGGAAAAGACAACGGGAGAAGTAATGTGACCACATAAGTGCAGGGCTTCAGCCCTATTTCCAGCTCTCCCCAGGAGGCAGTACAGCTCTTGCATTCCCTGGAGATGGCTGTGACTTTCTCTAGCTCTTGAAATCATGTCTGTGGATCTGGATAGGAGCAGAGCATTCAGAGAAAAATATAGAAAGGGATCTCTGGAAGTCGTCTGGCCCGACCCTCTGCTCAGAAGAGCTGAATTCAGTTAGATTTGTTAGATATATTCCTCTGCACTGTTTGTAAGCACAAACCTGCACACAGTAAATGTGGAAACATGAGCACATGCCCACCCTGTACAGCGAGCACATCGGCAGATTTGCTGTAGGAAGCTCAGGCTAACAGTGGCGCTGTCAGAATCGAAGCTGTGGCCAGTGTTTTCCCTCTAGAAGTGGCCAGGGCCCCCCATGCTGGAGAGGCTCTTACGATGGGCTGCAGAGCAGCAGGTCGTTCCGTCGTGGGTGCAGACGCACAGGCTGGTGAGCTGTGATTTAGGGAGAGTTCTTGGCAAAGCGGGGTTGGAGAGGTTGCAGCTTGAGGTGGCTCAGCAGATCCTGTTGGGTGCAGGAGAGCCCAACGAGAACTCGGGATGTGCTCCCTTTCTTTCCAGAACCAGCACTTTCCAAGTTATTTCATCTGTTACACCCTCCCCTGGGCCTTTCGTGCCCCCTTTGCTCCCAGCCACAAATGGCTCACTGCAAGCAGAGTAGATATCTAGTCGATTCTGTGCTTCTCCTCTGCTTCTTGCTGCCTCTTTTCCTCCCCTCTCCTTTTCTCGCAGCTTGGGAAGCTCTCTTCTGCTCTGGAGCAGACAGTTTGGTCAGTCCTTGTCTTTCCTTGCTTTTCCCTCTTCTCTCCTCCTGTAACGTTGTGAGGAGAGATGCACCAAAGTAAAACCAGGCCTAGGGTCATATCCCTTTCTTGTGTCCTTTCAGGGGAGAGTAGGTCCTGTCCTGTCCTGCTGATTTTCCTAGTGGAGTATTTAAGCTGGCTCTCTGTGGTAGAGAAAAAAATCCAGGTAGCGTCATGCACAGTACTTTCTCTGCTTCCATTTTTTGTTTTAGAGTGTTACAGTAGCCAGATGGACTTAAGCATACGAGAAATTAATTGTCTTTTCACTCTTCTAGGTAATTGATTTCAACGCTTATTTTTATGAACGTTGTACTGTTCAAAATTTTGTTTTACAAAGCAAGGTGAAATTTCTAATTACCACCTGTAAAATATTTCTGCTTTGTTTTTTCTTTCAGAGGATTATTTATTTCTATCTCAGACAGAGGTCATATAAGATCAATTGTGAACAACTGGCCAGAGAATGACGTTAAGGTACTACTACTATATAATTCTTTTTTCTAATTGTTATTTAATCTGAGTTGAGCGTCTTAAAATTTTAATATTCAGAATATTTAATGGAAATAGTAATGCTACATAAGGCATCCTTGGCAGCTGTTTGACAACGGTGGCGAATACAGTTAATGAAAACAAGGCATTTCTTGAAGAGCTTATTCTGAATATGAGGTTTACGGTTTGAGTAAACAGTGATGATCAGAACTAGGTTTGCCAGTCTTTTTGTTTTACTTTATCATTCCATCTTGAGAGGTGCTGGGGGATGCACCTCTGGGTCTTATTTGTTATGTTACATAGCTGTGGGAGAGATTATCTTGTCCTCAGATAAGAACATAGGAGTGGTGGCTGGAAGACCCGGGTTTTGCCATTAATCTGTATGACCCAGCTAGGTCCAAAACCGCAAAGGCAGATGAGGTGGATAATACTCATCCAGGCTTCTTGCTGTCTGGATTTAAGGGTAGAAATCATAAACCTAAGGTACAAGGTTTATGGTACACTGTGTCGCTCCACACAGTGGCCTGGATTCTCCCCACTTAGCTTTCAGGGATTTGGGCAGTAGCTGTCAGCAAACAAAAAGGAGCAGAGCAGATTCTAACGTTATCTTGTCTACTTTCTGCTTGGGTGAAATGAGCAAGGAGTTAAGCATTATCACTTCAGTTAAAAACTTTTTTGTAATCTGTTCTTATTTTGTTTAATTGTATAAACATAACTGAATTTTTGCCTGGAAAAAGCACAGTTGATATTGCTGTAAATTCCAGCAGTCGTATATGACTTCACTTGTTTTCATTTGCAGGCTGTTGTTGTCACTGATGGAGAAAGAATATTGGGTCTTGGAGACCTAGGTGTCTATGGAATGGGAATTCCAGTAGGAAAACTGTGTTTGTATACGGCCTGTGCTGGCATACATCCAGATAAATGCTTGCCCGTGTGTATCGACGTTGGAACTGACAATACAGTGAGTTTGGCTGAAATTTGCTTGCCATAAACTATCCCTATAATAGTTTAAAAGTATTTAGTACTGTAAGAGGAGATTTTTATTGAGCACTTTGTTTTAAGATGAAACCAAATATTTTGTTTAAAGGCAATTCGCTTTATAGTTATGTGTCAGTGACTGAAGCACTCCAGTTAATGTGACAGTGGAGTGGTGCATTTGGAAGTAATGTGAAGGCTGGAACACTGTAAAATAGACAGTCAAGTTGACCTGACTTTGAGAGGCTGGAAACGTGAATGAGATTTATTAAAGCAGTTTATTGTTCGCAGTATTGATTTGTTCCGTTGTAAAAGCAGCCATCACCAACCTCAAGTGCCAGCTGATGTTACTGAATGTTGATATAGACTGGAGGCAGTTAAAGTGGCTATATAAATGCAGTATCTTTGAGAACGGTGCGAAATGTGTTACTGTGGACACTTGAAAGTGTATATTGAGGAAGTGACTCATCCTGCTGCTCTCTTTGATTTATTTTTTTCAGACACTCTTGAAAGATCCGTTTTATATGGGCCTGTATCAAAAACGGGATCGCTCACAAGTCTATGATGACCTAATTGATGAGTTTATGGAAGCCATTACAGACAGGTATGATGCTGAATGTTCTGCGCAAGAATATGGCCAAAACGGCTGGCAGAAAGAACCCACGACACTGTCCTTGGAAGTCATTTAAGGAATAAAGATAGGACTAGAAGACAGGAGACATGGGCTGTCTTTCTAGTTCTGCAGTGATTTTTTTTCTGTGACTTGGAACATGCTGTTTGGGGTCATCTGTTAAGTACACGCAGAACGGAGATAGAATTTTGTTAGGCATTGAAAAGCCTGAGGAGATCTTCTGTCCAGAGATAACTGATTGGGTGCAGAATTTGTTTTAAAAGAATTTGTGTGTCTAGTGATAAGAATATTTGTCACGTTTTGTAGGTATGGCCAGAACACGCTTATCCAGTTTGAAGACTTTGGAAATCACAATGCTTTTCGTTTTTTGAGAAAATACAGAGAGAAATATTGTACCTTCAATGATGATATTCAAGGTATAAGCTTTGTTTATATTCATTAAAAGGATAGTCTGCCATGTAGATCTGTTCAGCTCTTTTCAGGTTTGTACTGCTTTTGTAGGAACAGCTTCAGTGGCCTTAGCAGGACTGTTGGCAGCACAGAGAGCCACTGGCAAACCAGTTGCAGAGCAGAAAGTGCTGTTCCTTGGAGCAGGAGAGGTGAGTTCTCCTAAGGTTTCTAGGACAGCAAAAGATTGCATTGTGTTATATTTTCTGGTTCTGTAAAATCTGGACGTTCACATCCTTGGAATTTTATTGCAGAACTCTGTATATAAAGGCCAGCTAAAACACATTAACAGAAGGGAGTACCTGCTTAAAGACGACTATTTGAAAGGCATTTAACATTTGCCGGGGCTCAGTTTTTCATGTTGCTACATGGACTTCTCAAAGCAGCAGGGACTGCTGGAAGGAGATTTTACCATGAAATTATGATTCAGTAAGAAAGGGGAAAGAAAGAGAAATGTTGCCAGCATCCACTTTCTGCCCTGTTGCCTTCTCTGTCCACACGGCCTCTATCACAGGCAGCAAGAGTGGAAGGAGGCGCAGAAAGCAGTTGGGCACAAAACGCTAGGCCATGGTTTATTGGCAGGAGGGCTGCAGGAATAACTTGTTCTAAGTGTCCAGCTGGGTGTCTCTGCTGTAGCTGTTGAACTGGTACAGGCCCAGCATGGGACACAGTACCCAGAAAAGCTGCCTCTCTTCTTGCTTAAAGACGTGATGCAGTTGATCCCAGGAATCTGCCCCCATCTAGGCAAACGTTGCTTGTGTTTCAGAGCTGACTTAATAAATGATTTTTGTGGGGATCTAGAACTGGGGGGTATTTGTGACGACAGACCCCAATTGTGGCTCATTTAAAAACAGCAGTGCTTTCATCCGTCAGGCTGCCCTGGGAATTGCAAACCTCATTGTTATGGCTATGATGGAAAGCGGTGTTTCTGCGGAGGAAGCCTACAAGAAAATATGGATGTTTGACAAATATGGTTTACTGATTCAGGTAGGGGTGTGTCAGGCCTGGAAACACCACGTTACACGTGGTCGGTGCTTTCCGTGGCCTTCTCACAAACAGCATCGACTTTAATCTGTAGGGCCGAGAACACATGGTAGATTCCAATCAAGAACCATTTACGCACCATGCTCCAGAGCTGATACCAAAGACATTTGTAGAGGCAGTGAACGTACTTCGGCCTTCAGCTATCATTGGTAAGTAAGGTTATTTTCATTTCTGTGTTTCCATCACTTGGTTATTTGCTGTGTTTGCTTTTGGCAGTATGGCCCCAAGGAGGTTGGTGACAGTGATCTGCGTTTCTGCTGAGATAAATAAGAAAAACTGAAGGCTGTTTTCTGCTTGTAAATATATTGAGCTGCAGTTTATCTCTCAGTGCATCCTTCACTGTAGCTGTGGTGCTCCTTCTGCAGCTTGTGAAGTTGTTAGCTGCTTGCTCTAGTCTGTATCCAGCTAGTCCGTGACCTTGCTTAGAACAACTCTGAGCGTGTTCTCAGAGACTGCATGGCCACAATGAACTGAAACTTCCAGTGAAGGGCAGTAAGAATCTTATTAAATATCAGAATACACTTCTACCACCAGCAACAAGGGAGAGAACAGAGGCACGAAACCACTATTTTCTGATAAACGGGAGTCCCCTAACTTAAGTAAAATATATTTATTTATTTATTTATTTTTGCCTTCCTCCCTTTCCCCAGACCAGCTTTTCTGGCCAGAACCTGCCAGCAGCATGACTTGAAGCTGTTTCATACTGCAGTCCCTGGTCAACAGTACCTATAAGGTCACTGACATATATATGGCCTCCTTATATATGTGTTGATTTATAACTGTGGCTGCCCCCAGAGCCCAGATGGGATTACAAGTGTTTCCTGTTACAATTCTGTAATTTCCTTTGCATGTCATTTTTGGGGCGGAGGGGACATTTTCTGGACTGAGTAGCTGCCCTTGAGTCTCTATCCGGTGTGTTCGTTTTTATGTGTTTGTATCTATGTGTTCAGGTGTGGTCAGAAATGCCAACGTGAAGAGAAAGTGCATTGCACAGTTAACACCCAACTAGGATGAATCATCCTCAGAGAGCTGCAGTCACCTCTTCCTTATCCAGGACAGCGATAAGCATTCTTTACGCAGATCAATACAAAAAAAAGCATGTAAAATAGGCTTCAGGAACACGTTAATTAGATGTTCCTGTGAAGAATGAGATTTTTAAGCAGCCAGTATCAGAGCAGCGCTTGGTCTCTCTCCCGTGGAATGAAAAGGCTGTGATAGTTTGCTCAGAGTCTTTGGAGGTGACAAGGCCTTAATCTATAATCAGCATCATCCGACCGGGGGTAGTTGAATATTGATTCCGTCTTTGTGTATTCCCCTGTACTCCAGGAGTTGCAGGAGCTGGGCGGCTTTTCTCACATGAGGTGATCAAAGCAATGGGCTCTATCAATGAGCGACCCATCATATTTGCACTAAGTAACCCCACAGTGAAAGCTGAATGCACAGCAGAGGAAGCATATACGTTAACAGAGGTATGTGATGTTTTGAAACATTGACCTATTGGGCCCTTGCTGATAGAACTGTTTACTGACAGTGAGAATGGAAAAGCTCCTCAGATTATTAGGTACCGTTTCTTCATGTAGTAGCAGAGTTCTTTCTTGTCGTCTTGAAAAGTAAATTGAGGTGATTTGAAAAGCAACCTTGATTTTTAAATAATGACATGCTTCGAAGCTTAAAATAGCCTAAATCCTGTTGTTTCTTTTTTGAGAAGGGACCATTAGGTACTGAGTGTTTCGTAGCTTTGATCAATTTCCCCTTTCCCACCAAATTTTGTATCACTTTCGTTTTATAAAGCAGCAGCTTCTGTTAACATCAAAAGAGAGATTAGGTACAGCCTTTAAAATATAATGGCTGTCATGTTGTAAATAAAGTTCCTGAGGCAGCAAACGTCCTTGCATCTGATCAAGACTTCTGCTTTGCACTCAGTCATTTCCTGGTGTTTGCAGGTCAGAGCTCATATCATTAACAGTGACCCATGAAGACCTGTGCTTTGAGCACAGGCCTCTGCTGCTGACCCTCTGTCCTCGCGTTCCCCTGTCACCACGCCTGTATCTCATACCCTGGCGCCACCAGAAGTTGAAAGGAGTGAACTAAGTATAAATGCATCTCGTTTTGCACTCTCATCCCAAAGCAATTATGCTGTGGCTTTGGGGGGTTTTGTTGCGGGTTTTGGTTTTTTTTGTTTTTTTTGTTTTTTTGGAATAACACTATCACCAGCGTATTTCAGGGTAAGCATATTCAGATTTAGGGTTTGTCTTTAAGAAAGTAAGTCTTTTATCCTTCTGCACAGCTTTTATATAAAACTAATCTTTGAAGAGAGCCTGAGGAGAAAGAGGTGGGGGGCAAGGGAGCAGTATCAGGCAGACAGTGCTAGCTTTAACACTTTGAACTGGCTGGTAATTCCTTTCCTTTAAATCTTAGGTTCCAGCTCGCTGTGATCTCTCCCCTGTCCACAGGGCCTGCTTGAAGACTTCAGGGGTGGGGCTTGTGAAAAGACTTTTTTTTTTTTTTTTTTTTTAAATACAGCCCCAAATCAAGTGACTCATATATGTAAAAGTGAGTGGGTGGAGATCTTTTCTTGTTTCTTGATGCGGAAATGTGAACTACTTCCTTCCAGTGTTAGTGTGGTTCTCAACATTAAGATCTCATGTATGGTGTGGTATTACCTTCACAGAGAAAAAGGAAGGGTAGAGCTTTCTTCCCCAGCTGGGGCTCAGACTCTCGTCTGTGTTACTAGGCCTGTCAGTTTGGAGGGAACTATTGCTGCAGAGGTTGGCAGGTCAAGAGGGAGCTCTGGGCAGAAATAACAGCCTCTGGGCAAAATCTAGACCTTAGCTTTAAATAGTAAATGAAAATGAAGATTGTTTAGTCTCTCTCAGATGTTTTGCATCTGGGGATTAGCCAGAATAGTAAGAGTTACTTAGGCAATGTTTCAGGATATAAAATTCACAGTTCCAATATCTTGAACTGAAAGTACACAGGAGTTAATTATGGAGCCAAGCCATTAGCATAGCACTACTGGCGTCTCTGATGGTCACAGGAGGAAACTTACTCTAAAACTGTTTGAGGGAGGGTCAACCTCAGTTTTGCTTGCACGTTTCAATGTGCTCTAGGTGACCCTGCTTGAGCAGGGGGGTTGGCCTGGATGATCTCCAGAGGTCCCTTCCAACCTCGACCGTTCTGTGATTCTGTGAAATCCGCTACTCAAGCAGGGTCACCTAGAGCACATTGCCCAGGATCGCGTCCAGACGGCTTTTGAATATCTCCAGGGAAGGAGACTCCACCACCTCTCTGGGCAACCTGGTCCAGTGCTCTGTCACCCTCACAGGAAAGAAGTTTTCCCTCGTGTTCAGACAGAACTTCCTGTGCTTCAGTTTCTGCCCGTTGCCTCTTGTCCTCTTGCTGGGCATCACTGAGAAGAGTCTGGCCCCATCCTCTTGACAACTTCCCTTCAGATACTTGTACACGGGCACTGCAGGCTGAACAGGCCTGTAGTTTCCTGCGTCGTCCTCCTTGCCCCTGTTTGAAGATTGGAGTGACACTGGCTTTCTTCCAGTCCTCAGGCACCTCTCCTGTTCTCCATGACCTTTCAAAGATGATGGAGAGTGGTGTAGCAATGATGTCTGCCAGCTCCCTCAGCGCTCGTGGGTGCATCCCATCGGACTTGTGGGTGTCAAGTTTGCCTAAATGACCTCTGACCTGATCCTTCTCCACCAAGGGAAAGTCTTCCTTTCCCCAGACTTTCCCTGACCCTGGAGACCAGGGAGATTCCTGAGGACTGGCCTTAGCAGTAAAGACTGAAGCAAAGAAGGCATTCAGTGTCTTTTTATAAAAAAAAATCAACAAAACAATAAATGTTTTCTGGGAACAAACTCGCTTTTCCTTCGTCCCATCGCTATATGTTGAGTCTCCAGGAGGAGGACGTATACTTCAGGGTGTTTGTCACCATCAGGTGCAGAAGCAAGATAGAGCTAGTTAGATTCAGGTGTGGTAAAACGTCTTTACTGAAGTAGCTGTGTAAAAATCATGCTGTTTAAAACAGCTTGTGCCCAGTGGAGAGAGAGGCTCTTTGTTTTTTCTCCTGTATTGAGTCCGTATGTCCTTTCAGCCATGATTTTCCGTGAACTGCTGTTTGTACGTGTGGGCCATTTGGGTTGCAAATATTCCTGCTCAGTAAATGAAAAGGTGCAACTGTTCCAGTCTTACTGGTAAATTTTCCAATGACTTTGACGCTTTAGACTTTTCTCTCTATCTAATGTTTGGTTTTATAATGCTCTGTAGTTCTCTGAAATGTGCTCAATACAACACAAATGTACTCAGTTTACCCACAGTTCTCCCTTCAAAATGTGATAATATCCTTCCCTTCAAGCTACAGTAGTTGCCTAGAAAATCCTCTCCAACATTGCTTGCTTTGTCATTTAACTAACAAAGTTTGGCAGTTAATGGTGATAAATGTCATCCCTGTGCATCTCCCAACCTCAGAAGTAGCTAAGATTTCAGACGAGCCAGGTTTGGCTAAGATGGGAAGTGACTAATGAAATGAAGAAGCCATCACTGACCTTTTCACCGCTTATTGTTTTTCCACTAGATGGCACCTGTAAAGGCATGACTGTGCTTTAGTGTCCTCTGCCACCCTGCAGGAAGTGTGGGCTTTTTCTGTGTTTTAATATTCATTGTCTTTTGATCCTGTCCTCAAACGCATCCATATGTTCTACTACTACCTATTGTACTGGGTATACCCTACTCGTGTGTAGTGGTCATGGGGAGACTTAAATATTTTGAAATAATGTTATCTTCATTATCCAAGAGAAAGTCAAATTTTTTCACTTACCGGGTTTTGTTGCTTGAGGAAAGGGTTATTTCGGTGGAGGATATATTTCGCATTCAAAACTCTGGATTGGTTTTAATATTTCTTGCTGGTAACAATTATTTTCAAAAGAACAATAAGGAAATTGCATTATTCGCTCCTCTCAGAGCTCCCATTTCTCAAAGACAGTATGATACGGTAGTCTTCTCCTTGCCCCCCCCCCATCAGTAAACAAGTGACCTTTCCTAGTTTACTTATATTTCAGTCTCCTTTGGAAGTGGCCATTACTCTGCTCTTCTCGTACAATCCTCAAGGTGGTGGGTCCTGACTTGTGGCTGAGGTTCCTGATTAATGCTCTTATACTTAACACATAATAGTTTGTTTTGTATGCAAGTAGTTCCTCCTAAGTCTTTGCTGTCTCGAAGAGCAATGGATGTTAAAACAAATAGGTGTCTTTCATTCCCTTGGAGAGCTGCACAATTCTTCTTTTGCCTTCCAGAGGTTTGCAGGAGGAAGAGGTGCTCACTGCTTTTCTTATCTCTTCCAGGCTGTGGTGTGCTCTACTGGGAAGCACGGGTTTGGTTGTTGTCACATGGGGAATCTAGGGATTTGAGTCAGCAAGGCATTTCAGTATGCGCTTTTGTCCAGTTGCATTCAGTAGGGCCGTTTTGCCTTTTGCGGTTTGGCTGTGCGCTTTGGTACCTTGCTGAATCAGTCCCAGAGCTGACTGGGAGCAGTAGGACTCGGGCATCCCTGTGTTTCATAATGATTTTATTGCTCCGTAACGCAGGCTCTTTTGGAGCTGACTGGCAAAAGCCGTGGTTATTCTTTTCCCCTCCACAGGGACGATGCTTGTTTGCCAGTGGCAGTCCCTTCGACCTGGTGACCTTGAAAGATGGACGAATCTTCAAACCGGGCCAGGGGAACAATGCTTACATCTTTCCAGGTAATAAAATTCTCTTCTGCTAGTCTTTAAGACTAGGCTATTAGCACCTCTAATCATGCTCTCTTGCTGCACTAGGCAGTTAGTGAAGCTGCATAAAGATGTGTTCGCAGCACTGAGAAGTTTAACTACAGATGAGACTTAGTCAGTGAGAAGAGCGAATGAAAGAAAATCAGTTAAGGGTGGGTGCCAGGCACGTGGGGTTACGTGTGTGACATGCGCGCAGTGAGCTCACCCAATTGGATGCTTCTAGGAAAACAGAAGGGTGTTACTGAAGTCTCTCGCTCCTGCTGCATGAGTTCCTCTGCTTGTTTTGGGGGGGAAGGAGAAAGTAAGCATCTATACGCTCCTCTTTGAGTTACATCTGCACAAGTGAGGGTACGAAAGAGGTATTAGGGATATTTCCCTGCCTTCCCCTTTCCTTTCTCTCCCTTTCCTCCCCCAACTCCTAAGCTCTAACCCCCTGTCCAAGGCCACCTCTTATGGCAAATGACTGGCACACGTGGTAATCGTCTTGTGAACGTGCATAGAAAGCTGTGGGAAGACTTTTAAAAATAACATTCTAGATGACTTTCAGCTTCTCAGCAGCAGGCTGCGTATTTTAAAATGATGTGGCCCTAATTGGCAATAATTTTATTGTAGGCGTGGCTCTCGCTGTGATCCTCAGCAGTGTTCGACATATTAGTGATAAGGTTTTCCTAGAGGCTGCTAAGGTAAGTGTGGAAGCAGAGTAGGCTGTAGCTTCTGACACAAAGGTGGATGACATGACAGGTTTTCTGAGATGTCTCAAATCTTGCTGAAAACTATGTGATTTCCTATTCCCTTTGGAGGGGATAAAACCAACAGGAAAACACGTTTTTTGGTCAAGCAAGATTGTGGAAGGTGTCTGCTTCCTGTGAAAATGTTTTCATCCAGAAACTGAATACCCAAATATGAAATTTGTCCATGGGTAAAGGTGCCTCCCTGCCTCGTGGGACTGGAGGCCTGCCTGCCTTCTTTCTCGTTGTCCTCTCGGGGTCCCGCAGCTGGCCGGGGTGCTCAGGGACACGCGTAGCCCCAGGGCTCCCGAGCTGCACTGCCTTTCTGCTCTGGAGCAGGAGCTCCTAAAAAAACATTGGAGTAGCCACTGAATCGAGTGGTATGTGGGCACCCCTGCAGTCGTGTTGTGCTCTTGTAACCTCCACTGTTACGGGTAGCTCAGCCTCAAAAATAGGATCTCCTTTCTGCTAAATGCTCGCAAGCAGAATTTGCTGATACGGACACAGATTGCAGTGTCGACCTTTGAGAACATTGAGAAGTGAGGTGTCTTATTCTACTGCTTCGGAGAACTCTGATAGTAAAGAATGCTGCAACTTGTTTCTCTCATGCATTTTAGCGCGTTATTGATCCCATGCAGGATGCAGTAAATAGGAACTCGTTTGTTTTTCTAATTCAGGCTTTGACAGAACAGTTGACTGATGAAGAACTTGCGCAAGGAAGACTTTATCCTCCACTGTCTAATATCAGGGAAGTTTCTATTTATATTGCCGTCAAGGTGAGTATGAAGCATAAAAGTGGACTGGACTAAAAGTGTTGTATGCGTATATTTACTTAATGAGTTTCACAGCATGATACCTGGACACTAGATGCTTAGGCACAGAAAACCCAGACCTGTTTTTGTGCCATTAATAAGGAACGCTTATAAAAACGTTGGCTTTGCTGGATTCTTCAGTTTGGCAGTGATCATTGGTCAAAATTAGGCTCCTTTGGTTTTTGAAATGAAGTTTCCAGATGCCTGATACGGCATTCAGGAATTGTAAAAAGACTTTGGTATTTGCCTGTGTTCAATCTGTGAAGTCCTAAACGTTTTTCCAGAGGAAGTCCAAATGTTACATGAATGTAGTGAAAGGCACAAACTGCATGGTGATTTAACTTTACAGGTTATGGAATTTTTGTACGCGAACAACATGGCTTTCCACTATCCTGAACCTGCAGACAAGAACCATTACATTCGATCAAAAGTTTGGACCTACGAATATGAATCCTTCATGCCAGATGTGTATGACTGGCCTGAGTCTAAAGTACACTGATGCACCAGAAGATAGCACTCCTCAGGCAGCATCTTCTACTCTGCAGGGATCCCTTTTTCAGACCAATTTAAATCGTGACTTTTGAGACTTGTAATTTATTTTCTCTCATTTTGTTGTCTTTTTCCCCCTCTCCCTTGTTTTTCATTTGACGTAGATTTCTCCCCATCTTCCCAAGTATCTGATGATACCGTGTGGGTGATGGCATCTGTCACATAACTGATAGAGCTCTCCAGAATTAATGTAAATAATGATACTGCGTTTCTAGCTTAGAGCCCTCACCACACTAAAGAATTCCAATAATGATGTTTTAGCTGCATGCGTACTATAATGAATTATAGCTCTCTCCACACTGCTGATTTCCAGAATCATTTATTTCTGCTTTTAATAATCAGTCTTCTGTCTAATTCTCCTGGTGTTGTCACACTGCATTATTTGTGACATCATAAGAGAATTTGTCAAGAAAAAATAAGGACAGCTTAAGACGAATCTAGCGGTCTAGCGGGCTTTCTGTGTTGTCTGATGATTAAAGATGCACACGTCCAGGCTTCCTTGCTTCATTGGCTGCTCTGTTTTTTTGAAAGTGCTTTGAAGAGCCGTGTGGTGTGCACATGTAGAATCGGCAGCAATATTTGTATTCTGAATTTTCATCATTGTGTGAAATCTCCTATCGGGAAAAATAGGAACTAGTTACAATGTATCCTTGGAAAGTCTGAAAATAATATTAATCACTTACTGACTTTAAAAAACAAAGCTATGCTGTTGCATTAGAAATTGCGTCGTATAAAGGCAGAACCTGAAGTAACATGCAGAAATCTTTTAGAGGGATTGTTGAGAGAGATCTGCGTTAGACTCCAAGGTGATGTGCCAAAGGACTTTTGTTTCATTTGTTTGGTTTTTTTCAGGTTCTGTTTCTTCTAAGTAAATCAGCAAGATCGTTTTCTCTCTTTAGCTGCATAACTTTGTTTTCACCAAAGGACTTGTTTTTAATGTTTTTGTGATACCACTGACTTGAAGGGCTCCTTAGTGGACTTAGTTGCCACTTTGAACGAAAGACTCCTTCCCCACAAGCTGAGGAAGCTAAACCAGAAAGTGTTCCAGGCAGCTGTTGACATGCACGTTTACAGAAGTTTGACTGACTGTTTCTTGGGATTTCAGTTCAGCGTACTTTTAGTTTGACCGCAGTGAACGTAAGACGTGAAAGATCTAATGCTCAGCAGTTTTAAGTTGATTACTTGATCCTCCTCACTCCCTTTACAGGCTTAATTTGTCAGGTATTTTGTAAGAAAACAGAAATTGCTAGTTTGATTTTTGTCGCTGTTTCCTCGCAGTGGTAGTACTGCACATTTGCTACAGATATATCACAATGTGCATTCCTTTTCATTTTGTTCACATCTGCTTTGAATTGCCCTCCATTATTTTATATCAGCATGCAACAACAAATTTTTGTAGTTACTGTCTCCGACTTCTCTAAATCTAGCCTCTCTAAAAAGCAATAGAGCAGAGAGTGGAACAGAAGTGGAGATGATGTGCCCTCCCGTACTTTGTTGCAAAAAGACAAAAACTTGACAAAAATAAATACATGTAAAAAAGTTGTACTGAACAAAAAAAAAAAAAGGGGGGGGGGGGGGAGGGAGAAGATTTAAAACGGGTGTACTGGCAAACTTGAAGACAGAAACCAAAGAGATGAAGTAAATCGTGCTCAGAATTTACCCATGGCAAGCAAATGTCTCATGCCCTCATTTATATTGGAAAATGCATTCTCTTCAGAACTAAGTAAAATCGGGCCAAAATAGAACAGGAAATACAGACTCTGTAACCCCTTAAAAAGACGCGGTCTCTTGGTTATTGCCTAGTCCCTGATTTTAATAGAAAGAAGTATTAGGGGAAAAGGACAGTAAACTTTTGGAAGATTTCACCTAAGCGAGGGAAGAAGACTGATTATATAAACACAGAAAGCAGTGACATAGGGAAAAAAAGCCATATTCAAACTGTGGTGAAATGCTGTCTGGTGAGGCTCTAAATGCTACATTGCCAAGTTGTGTGATTTATGTGGTTTGCAACTTATCTGTGCAAGTATATATACAAAAAAAAGACCAACACACACACGATGTTTTTACAAAGAATGCTTTTTTCATCTATTTTTGCTATGCTTAGTTTTTAGTGTATTTAAATATGTGGTCTTACTGAAAAATTATTTATTTAGTGTACAAATTATTTTTACCTTTTGAAAATTCAACCCGTGCTGAAGCACGGACTGAAAGCCTGTTGTAGCGTGTCAGTGAGGTTCTGCATCGTTGTGCTAAAGCATATCAGCAGCGCGCGCTTCCTCGCTGCTTCTGACGAAATATTGAGTAGAAGAGCAACAGATATCCCATGCGCTGATCTTGTGCCCTGGCTGAGACCGACTGCAGAGGCAGGGCAGTCGCTCAGTAAATATAACTCGGTGTTACAAAATAAAGATCTACATCCATCTATTCGGTCTTGATTTTTTTCAGGCAGTGAGTGCAGCCATCATTTATACGGTGGGCACTGACAGCACTCAGGGTGTCAGAACATCTGGTACTTGGGAAAATAATATTCCCGGCTCACAACAGGAGCCTTGCTTTGGGCAAGCGTGGTTTCGTTTCCCAGAGGAAGCTACCAAACAGACAATTGGCAGTGGCTTGTGTCAAGGACAGGGAAGACTCCTGTTTTGCGAAAAGCAGTTCTTTCTCCTCCTGGCGTGGGCTGCCTGCTGTCTTCTCTGTGCGGAGGCCAAGAGGCGTTGTTCAGAACTGGCTGATAGTGGGATTTTCCTAGCTGTAAACGTTACTAGATACTTTTATGAAAATCCCACTGCACAGGTGAGGAAAAACTTAGTCGTGTTTTTACTTTCATCTTTAACTGACTGTGAGGCTCTAGTTACGATACAGTCATCCCCCAGCGCGGCTGTAGGTGTTCCCAAGGTCTGGAGTAGCGGGGTCCTGATTGCGTCTCCCTAATCCGTCCCAGTTATGTCAGCTAAGAGGTCCCAGCTAGGCTTCATCTGCACGCACATCTGTGTGCTTTGTTTAGTCAGGCTCTGTTGGTCATCTATAGCTCGAAATAGAGACAATGTAGGATTTTGCCGTCAACTTACAGCCATTGTTTTCCATTTGCAACAGGTAACATGTCACAAACTTCTAAGTGTTTCACTCTTCCATCTTTCTCAGAATGCTTTTAAGTAGATTGATCTTCAGATTTGATGAACTCTTCAAATCTAATTAATCTTTGAATCAATTAGCTAACTGTTAATTGTCAGTTAACTAATTAATTAACTGTTTGTCTTGCCACTTAGGAAGGAACCACAGTATCCCTTTTCATATTCTACTTAATCTGAATTTTTTTTTCTTTGCAGGCTTTATCAAAAGCATTTATTAATCTGTATCAGTACAGAAAGTTCTCTTAGGCAGCATGCAAAGACCAAAAGCTTTCACCAGGATGCGTTTTGTAACACTACATAGTGTAAGTTAAGCTTATATTATTTTTTGAAAATTTTTGCCTAAACGATGACTAGTGGTGCAGCTCTAGTGACTTTTGCCCTCTGAGTGGTATAGAAATATGTCTTTCAGGTCTCTTCTGTTAGATTCTATTCTGGAGTTAGAGAACACTTGAGAGAAAAATACTAAGCATCAAAAACTCCCATTAAAGTCAGCAGAGCTGAGGATGCTTAAGTCTTTTTCAGGACTGGCCCAAGACTCGCTCCTGTGAAATCAACAGGAGCAGGATATGTACAGAAACATCTACGTGAGGAGAAGTGGAAGGTCTTTAAAAAGAAAAGTAGCTAAGGGAGCGTAGCCTCACTTTATGAAACACCTGTGTTCTTGTTCAAAGACGTTACAAAGGTTTGTGTATTCCTGAAGCGTATGCCAGTGTGCCAACAGCTGACGTGGAGAGGAAGATTATTAAAATGTAGTGTCTGGTTATATTTGAAACCAAAAGTGTGACTTGCCACCCAAGTTCTTCTTGGATATGTTTGTTAATGGTGATGTTTCATGATGTCGTCGTTTGTTTTCCAAGCTTACAGTGAAGTGACGCTTTACATGCAGATCAGTGTTTAGCAGGTTTCCCTGCGGTAGGTGTGTGCGTTCTCTGTACTGTCTTCGTCAGCACGCTGTTTTGCAGGAGGGGGGTGACGTAACCCAATGTCATGCTCTTCTGATAGAAACTGTAAGTAAGGGACAATATACCTTGTATTTTTTTTTCATTAGCAGCCCTGTTTAGTGAATGCTCCAGTAGGAGAATTGGGATCAGTACTGTTGTACAGCTACAACTATGAATTTTAGTTCAGCTCACTCTGGATTTAATTGAAATTCAAGTTGTGTTCTTTCATTTGGGGCTTGCGCCAGCTTTCCTCGATGTTAAAGGTGCAGATGTTAGTGTCTCTGTGATTTAGATAAAGTAACCTACCAACTTTCAGACAGGGACTGTAAGAACAAAACAGTTTGGGCTTCAGTTCTGTCTTGGCTATTAATGCTATTCTTGAATTCAAGAAGAAAACCACTGTCATTGTAGGATTTTTTTTTAAAGCTGATGCTCACTGTTACAAAGCATACTGCTTGCTACCCTCTTTTGTAACACATGTACATAATATGCAAGGACTGGTACTATCTTGAATACTGGAGCAAAGAGAAAATCTAGAACAAAGCTCTAATTACAGCCACTTGGCAGCTGAATTTGATGAACGCCGTTCAGTTGCCTCTGGTGAAGGGACGTGTAATTCTGTATGAGTCTACCTTGACCTACCTGCCTACCTACTCTTGAAATGTTATGTTACCATGGTATCAGAAAGCCTGCAGATGTTCTCAGTGAGACACGAAGACAGCTCAGCACGCTTCAGGCCTCTGCTGCCCGTCATCGCTCTCCGGAGCGCCAGCACTCGGTGACGATGCAGCTTGCTCGCGCCTGCTCCAGAGGGATGTGTGCTAACAGCTGGATCACGTGTGGGGGATTCGATATCTTGTGGTGTAGCGGACCATGGCTAGAACTCATTAAAACCTCTCTTGGGTCAGGTTTTTGACTTGCCAGCGCTGAGAGAGCTCTCTGTAGGGAGTGCACATATATATTCCACGCGCACAAAATGGGCACTGGACTGAACTGAACATTAACCCTCCGAGTACCTCGGGCTTTGACTTACCCGTCCTTTAAATAGCTCCTTTCTAATAAAAACGGAAATAAAAATACTCTTCAGACTGCGCAAACATAGCAAGTTTGTCAGTTTTTCAGGAAATAAAGATGATTTTGCCATTTTATCGTAAGCACATCTATCTTACACAAGTAAACGTAACTCTGTATTGCAATGCTTGTGACGACAATTCCAGTCTAATCTACCTAAGGGTTGACTTAATCTAGGAGGGTCATTGCTCAGCTGAAACTAAACTTGTATTTAAATGTAAACTGTTTGGGTTTTTTTTTTTTTCTCCTTTATATAATATTGTAACCGTTGAATGTGTGTTCCGGTCTTCTATTTTCTTAGTAAAATGCATTCTCTTTGCCTAAATGACATCCGATTTTATTTATTCTAAAACAGTAATGCTTGGTGTATACAGAATTGGTACGAAATTACCTACAATAGTCACTTTTTTCCCTCGTTTTTTTCCTTAAAAGAGATTTCTGTCCCTTGTAAGCGATCAACAAACAAAACAGGTACTTAGACCTTCAGCTAAACAATTAATAACAGTTTTTCTGGAAATAATACATCTGTTTTACCATACTTTACCTTAGTCCCCTTAAAGGGACTTGAGTATTGTCATCTGCGTTTGACCAGACGGAGAGAGCGAGTCTTACAGGGGAAGAAGCTTGTCCGCCCCCCGGGCACGCTGGGGTCCCGGATGCTGCGCTCTGCCCTCGAGTTTCTTGATTAATACAGTCGGCGTCTCATGAGACAGATGCTCCGATGACAAAGCACGTCTCGGGTCGTCGTGCCTGCCCAATCCTGCAACATCAAGGCTCGGGATTTAGGGGAAAGGACTTGGTTAGGGAGTAAAATTTGCTGCGAGTTATCAGGGCGCAGGTGGGGGGTGGTTTTTTTGGTTCGTTTTTCAGGATGTCAATGTTACCGCGTATGCGTGCCTTAATACTAAGACGAAGCTGGTTGCAGCCGCGAGCACCCAGGGCCGCTGCGTCCCGCCGTCGTCGCCCGGAGCTGGGAAATCTTTCCAACGCCAAGTTTTTAACAGGCCCCGACTTTCACGAGCCGAAAGGGCCCGACAGAAACCCCGGGTGTATTTGG